ACAGGGAGAGAGACAGACAGACAGAGAGAGAGAGAGAGAGAGAGAGAGAGAGAGAGAGAGAGAGAGAGAGAGAGAGAGAGAGAGGTACTGACTTTGTAAAAGCCTCAGGGAATAGGTTTCCCAAGAGAGCAATAGCTCTGGGTAGAGTCAGCTTAACATAGGCAAACAAGATGTCATACAAGTGAGTGGGTAAGTGAGTGACAGAGAAGGAAAGATGTCATGGAGGTGGGAAGAGGCCTCATAGGGGCTTCAATTGTAGGCAGTTGGTATACTCTTCTAAATATAAGATGTCGCCAGGGATTAATGGTACAAAATATGTCTCAGTGATCAACAAGCTTGACACAGGGCAAAGGAATTACTTCTCACTGTACAGATTAGGTATGGTGCTTTTAAAAATGAGCATCCTGAGGCCCACCTGGGCACTTCATCAGAGCACATTCCTGTAGCCCTGCCAGAGGTTCTGGGAGCCTATATTTCTAGTGCTTTGTTTTCTACATTTAGAAAAAAACCAGGAAATCCAGCAGACCCATGATGAAATAACAACCATAGTTATTTCTCCAACATCTTTGTCAAAGGGACACTAGAGGACAAGTGTCTGTCCGATGTGCTGTTATGGCAGTTTTGTTTTGTTTTTTGTTTTGTCAATTTGACACAGCTAGAGTCATTTGGGAAGAGGAAATGGTCAAATAAGGAACTGCCTCCATCAGAATAGTCTGTAGGGAAGTCTGTGTGGGCATTTTCTTGATTAACATTTGATAAGGAAAAGCAGAGTTCACTGTGTGTGGTGCCTCTCCAGGGCAGGTGGCCCTGGGCTTTATAAGGAAGGTAGCTGAGCAAGCCAAGGGGAGAAAACCATTAAACAATATTCCTCCGTGCTCTCTGCTTCAGGTTCTTCCCTGACTTTCTTCAATGATGGACTGTTGTGGGGAAATATAAATTAAACAACCCCCTGTCTTTCCCATTTGCTTTTGGTCATGGTGCTTATTACAGCAATAGAAAGTAAACTACCCCTTTGCTCAACCCCATCTGTCATTCCATCCATTCCCATCTACTGCCACGATCCTGAGGGGCGGCAAAAGCTGCTGGCTCCACATTGGTAGCTGGTGACACAGCTTCTGATTGGAATTCTGGAGGTAGAGTTACCAAGTCCAGGGGTTAGTTCCCCCAATTCAACATGCCATTCACATAGGACCTACATCTGACTCATGCTGAAGTATTTCTTAAATTAAAATTCAAGCCTAGAGGCACCAGTCAGTATGCTGTGTCCTAACTGGATGAGTGGGGTGGGGCAGAAGTGGTTGGAGTAATTTCTGCACTGGCTTTGGTGATGCACTGTAATTTTTATTGCTTCCTGATACATGGTTCTCTCATGGAATTTTACAATTTCTTATGTTCTCTAGGTGTTGTTCATGTGATGGTACGTGTCACCGTGCATTAGATTGGGTGAGGGGCTGGGGGACATAGTGGGGAGGGTGGGGGCGGAAGGGAGGGAGAGGGAGGGAGCTGGGATTGACATGTGAAACAAGATTGTTTCTAACCTAAATAAAAAAAATATTATTATTTAAAAAAAGAAACTACCCAGCATCTGTTAAGCTTGGATGTGTGTAATTTGAAAGGGAGGACTCTATGGTTAGTGTTTGCTGCTAGTACAACTAAAGCTGGAGCTTTCTGTAAGAGATTACAAGACAATGAGTTGCCTGATCACTGTGGCCCAGGTCAGTGATTCTCCTGCTGGCAGTGGGTAAAGGCTTGGCCAATATTACTGTTGGTAACAAGTGTGTACAAAAGCATGGGCCTGCACTGTAAACCCAGCAAATTCTGCTGTCAGTTTGTAAATCCTAAGAAGCATGGAGATGAACACACACACACACACACACACACACACACACGAAAGAGCAACTACTATTTTCTTTTTTTTTTTTTTTTTTGGTTTTTTACGAGACAGGGTTTCTCTGTATTGTTTTGGAGACTGTCGGTCCAGCCCGGCCTCGAACTCACAGAGATCCACCTGCCTCTGCCTCCCGAGTGCTGGGATTAAAGGCGTGTACCACCACCACCCAGCTGAAACTACTATTTTCTTATATCACTACTTTTTCAGCACTTTACATTATCTTATGCTGTAGGTTCCAAGAATAATCAATGAACATGACTTGAAAGTATCATCAGACTTCATACAGTAATTCTGAAAAGGGCCACGTACCCAACTCAAATCCACATGTCTCAGAAATAGTACAGTTGGGCAGAGTGCAGGTCTTTCTTTCCACTCTTTATTATCTCTAAATGCCTATCATCATGTCACAGTTAGCGTCAGCTATCAACTAGATATGGCATAGAGTCATCCGAGGGATGCTCAATTGAGAAATTGTACAGATCAGATTGGTCTGTGGCCATGTCTATAAGGTATTATCTTGGTTGATGATTGATGTGGGATGGCCAGGTGACAGTGGGTGGCACCATTCCTAGACAGGTGACCCTTGGCTATATAAGAAAGCTATTTAAGTATGAGCCTGTCTGTAAGACAATGAGAACAAGTAGTATTTATTCCAAGGTTTCTGCTTTTAAGTTCTTGCTCCAATTTTCTCAATGATAAACTGTGACTTGGAAACATAAGCCAAATAAATATTCTCCCTCCCCAAGTTGCTTTTGATCAAACTGTTTTATCACAGCAAGAAAAAAAAATACACACACACACACACACACACACACACACACACACACACACACACACAGAAGTTTCCAGAAGGGTATTCAAGTCTACCCAATGGTTCCTGACTGACAAGGGCTTCAACAGATTCTTTCATTCAACCCTAAACAGAACTCTATAGGACAAGAATTTTAATCCTATTTCATACAAAAAAATAGAAATCTAAGATATTGAGTGAAATGCCAGAATTATCAGAAGGAGATTGAGGAAGTACATGAGACTTGAGATAGAGTTCTTTGTTCTTAGGTTTAGTGCCTTCTACACAGTACACACATTAATATTCTGTGCACTCAGTTGAGGAATGTACATCAGTACAAAAAACTAGGCTGGCATACTCTCATGGTCATTATAACTTTATGGATAATTGCTGTAATAGCATCATCATTTCCAGATAACAGCAGATAAGGAAACGGAGTCTTAGAAAGGCAAGATGACTTGTGCAGAAAGTTAAACTCAAGAAGGTGAGAACCATTGAGAACAGTGTCTATCTCCTAAGGCCAGATATTGTGCATAGTGATACCAGCAGTGTGTGTGTAAGTCACAGGTGAATGCTGTGTGTTTTCCTCCATATTTCTCTCTCATATTTTCTGAGAAAGGCACCCACTTCTATTAGTTACACTCAATAAGTGTCATTCCCAGACATCAATGACATGAAAGTTCCTATTCAGTCATGTTTTCGGATGTTTTCTTGTGAGTTTCTGCATGTCTGGCTTCTTGTTCCTTCAGATTTACACATTCTTCATCTACTCAAGACTAACAATGGACTTTACAGAACACTCCTTGTGTGCCTGGTCCTGTTCTTAGTGGACTGACTCACATCATTCTTAGATCAATCTCAAGGTATCTTCATTCACGTCCCAGACAGGAATGCCAGGCAGCCCAACAGGCAGATCTTTTGAAATGAGGCAATATGGTGCACAGAGCACAAGGAAAGGGCAGCCACTGAGGGGTAGGTATGACTTAAGAGGAAGTTGCTCAGCCAGTATGAGGGTCAGCTATGCAAAATGGCTAGGGACATTATCTCTGTGAACTTAGGGCTTCAAATTCATTCACCTCCTGTAGCCAGTGAGGCTTGCAAAATTGTAATAGCTGGGGAGACGGATGGCGCAGCGATTAAGAGTACGCACTCTTTTGCGAGGTCCTGAGTTTGGTTGACAGTGACCACATCAGGCAGCTCAAAACCATCTGTAACTCAGCTACAGGTAATACACCCTTTCCACCATAGGCCCTTTGGACTCGCTAGTTCATCTGCCCAGAAAACTACTTTCTTCAAAATCGGTATGTCTAGATTTCTTCCTTGCTTTTTACATCTCTACATCTATAGATATCCCTTTCTCAGAAATATTTTCCCCAATGACATTATCTAAAGAAAATCTCCAACCTGACTGGCATTATCTAGCCCAGTCCCTTAAAAGCCCTTATTACAGTTACAATATTACTTAATTGTTTATGGATATCTATATTCCTGATCCTGGGTCAAACACTCCAAGCTGTAAACACAATTGGTTTGCTATGAAGCCTGGATATGAATTTGTTTAAAAAAGTCCCATTGTGACTCAATTTGTTCTATATCATAGTTGACAACCAGCCTATAAGACTGTAATTGAGAAAGGGCCAGCATAATAGCAGTGCCACTGGGAAAAGCCCAGTGAAGGACTGTTACATTGGGACATGTGTGAGGAAAGGAAAATGCCTTGTTTTGCTGGGACCACAGTGGTAGTATAAATAAGAATGTCACCCATGGGCTCATATATCTGAATGACTGGTCACCAGGGAGTGACACTTATTTGGGAAGGATTAGGAGGTGTGGCCTTATTAAAGGAAGTATGTTGCTGGGGGTGGGCTTTGAGGTTTTAAAAGCCCATGCCAAGCCCAGTGTCTCTCTTGCCTGCAGATCAGGATGCAAGTTCTCAGTCCTGTGCCTACATTAATGTCACCATGATGATCGTAGAGTCATCCTCTGAAACTGTAAGCAAGCCCTCAACCAAATGCTTTCTTTTGAAAGAGTGGACTTGATTATGGTGTCACTTCATGGCGGGGATAGAGCAGTAACTAAGACAGCCATGGAGGCTGCAGTGTGTAGCCTCTTCAGTATGGCCTTACTCCTTGCTATCCTCAAGTAACACCAGCACCAAAGTAGGCAACACTGCTGTGCAGCACTAGGGAGGGCCCTAAGATGAACTTCAATGGGCTTTATGTTCCAAGCCGAGGAGACCATCTCTCATCCTCTGTTGTTACAGGGGGTAAAGAATATCAGCTATGGGGACTGTGTGGGGGGTGAGGACATTGATCATACCTGTCCATGGAAAGCTGAGCGACCAGGGTAACGTCCGTGTTGTCAGGAGCAGGCTGGAACTCATAGTGCAGGAAGTACAGGTGGGTTCGGTGGACAGTGAAACGCTCTCGCCGGAACTCATAGCACAAGTCATCCTCATCCAGCTCTGACAGCTGCTTCTGAAGCTGCACAGGAAGAAAAAGGCTTGGGGACGGGAGGAAAGGCACCACGAAGCCTGCCTGTGGTTGTCTGTCCTTCCCGAGTTGGTAGTTTAACACAATGAACTCCCATTTTATTTCTTGAGCCATCACTCTAACTTCAAAAGGTGATCAAAAAGGCAGACACCCTCTCCATAAGAGAGATGAGCCCTCTTGTGGCCAAGAGAGATGGTGATGCTTACTGAAAAACAGCCCAGACAAATCCTCACAAACAAAACAGAGGGGTTTCTGGCAAGTCAGTTAAATGGTGGTTTGGTTTCAGTTAACCCAAAGGAGATACTTGTAGATAAGGAAATTCCAAATGGTAAAGGTTTCTGAGTGCTTTTGTCTTCCTGGAGCTACACACTTCAATTTTTGGGACAGGTATAGGAGAGAACACCCAAGCAAATGCATTGATGACACAAAACTCTTCCCTTTATTTGTTTTAAACCTAAATTTAGTCATGTCAGCCTCTTTCTATTTTACCTTTCCTAACTCTATGAAAGTCTTTCTTCATTAGTAGAAAAGTATCTGTCATTCTATTCCTCTTTGCTAGCTCACCTGCTGAAAAGAGTAGTCCAACTTACTAACAAGGAGTTTGCATGGCTACAGGTTCCCAAACTACTATACTCCCTTGCTGTTAAATCCCACAGTATCACTACCATGTGAATGATGATGTCTGCTTAATGACAATGTCTGGCAAAACGTATCTACGACCTGACAAAACAATATCTACAGCAATGGAAAGAGATTAGTGTGGGCAGGGTGTGGTGAGTGGCTTGGATAAAGACATAAGAGATTCTGGGATATGACATACATCATCACTGTGTGATGTGTTTGTGTGTGTGTGTGTGTGTGTGTGTGTGTGTGTGTGTATTTTAAATCTGAGTGCACACATTTGTGAATGCTCATCAGGCTACAGCTTTGGGCAGAGAAGACGTAGTACAAGCAGTTTGCACTTCAATAAAATTAAACTTAAAAAAAATAATATTCCAAGGTTCACACAACTGGCTCTGGTGTCTGTCCAGTTTACTTCAGCCTTCTCTATCACATAATATCATACATTTGAATATAGATTCAAGTTTTCATGGCTGGACTTATTAGCCTGTCTGAAAGTAGTAGACTGGTTTTCAAAAAAAAAATGTGTCCTTTTGAAAATCTCTAAACTGATAGCATAATTCACAAGAAAACACATTAACTGTGTCTCTCAGTGTAGCCTTCTGCCAGTGAAGAGCACTGTCTTTATACATTATGCCACTGTAATATTTCTCAAGAGACTAGCAGTGGCACACACGCCACTGTAAAGTAAAGGGTAATTTTCCTCCTTTCCTCCTCCTCTCTGCGGCATGGCCACACTCTAGAGTGGCGCTTACTAAAGCTGTTAGTCTGTTTCTTTGTTCTTAAAATCTAGGCTGAACTTGAGAAAGGTTTTTGTTACTAGAATTCAGGGGAAGCAATGTCCTCCTATTCTGAGGCTAGACTCCAGAGGACATAGCCAGGAGCCAACACTACGGCTAGCCTGATAGGAGAGGACAGACACCTGTGGCTGGTATACTTTCCTCAGGTGCCTACATGTGAGCAAACCCAGCTAATCTCAGCAGAATTGCTCTAATAAATACTTCCTCTAGAGCACTGGGGTACAGGTTGTGAACAACAGGTAGCATATAATGTGCTATCGGCACTTAATGGGTGGCACGTGTTCATTTTGGGAGCCCACAAATCTAGGGACAGTTTACTTTCTAGGCCCTGTTTGTCAAATGCTCAAAGGTTCACCAGATGCCCTTGTACAACCCAGGCACAACCACACATTTCCAAATGATCCCTGGGTCCAGTGGAGATCTCATGATCTGAGACACTTCTGGCCACTTAAGGGATATAATGTAGAATAGCACTCTCACTCCATCAATGATTCTATGTATGACATGACCCCCTTTGATATGAAAAGTACACCTGGTGACTGGCACAGACAGCTGTCCTACCCATCACCTCAGTCCTCTTCAGGCTACTAATGCTTCTCAGAGTTGATTTTCCTTCTGCCTTTCTGTGACTTCCTTGAACATCACCTGTTTCCCTCTTGGCAAAGAACTCCGTCAATGGACTCTTTTCTACCCTGTATTTAGCCTTCAAGACAGCATAGGTGTTTCTTTTCTGGGAGATCACTGCAGGCCCTTCCAGGAGCTGCTCCATTTCTTCTCTAGACTTGAAGAGTTGCTCCCAAACTCCATTAAGCACTTGCCAATTTGAACTGCAATTATTTAAAGTCATCCATTAAAATATGGTTCCCACTTTATGCCTAGTGCATAACAAAAAACTCAACAGCTACAGGTTACATGAACAAAAAAGATTTGCTGAGCACAAGATGAACACCATCTCTGTGATGGCCTGTCCTCCAATTTTCCTTTGTTTCCTCTAATTTTATTCACAGAAAGTAATCAATGAGTTTATCGTTAAGACTATTATTTTCACTATTTGCATTCAAGGCTCTTTGATGACAGAACTGGTTTTAGAAAGCAAGCAGACACATTGCAGGTGCTCGTCTTTTTCCACATACTCTCAGGGAGAGCCTTGGAAACCTCACCTAACAGCAGAATGAGCAGCTTCAAATTCCTGAGGTCCCTTAGGCTGGTCACATTTGGGTCCATGTGTACCCGTCACTCTCTAGGAAGGATGCTAATTTGGTCTCGGGTAAAGATTCTGACACAGTACACAGACTAAGGCTACAGGAGTGGATGGCTTCTTATTAACTTTTCTGAACTCTGATTTCCTCAAGTATGAAGTGGGGAAGTAAAGGTAACTACAGGGGATGGTGGGAGATGTTGCATGTGCACAGTGCAGATCTTGGAGGCAGGGGGTAATTCATTCAATATCACCTGTTAAAACCACTGGGAAATAAGCTAAGTCCCTGAAGACAACTTTAGGCAGGGGCATACATTAGGGAGAAGGTTCAGGTGTTAGATGAGACAGGGTATCTGCTATCATGTGTATTTGTGTGTGGGTGGGTGAGCAGGTATGCATGCACGCACATATGTGTATACAGAAGACATCCTTAGTAGCAATTAACTTTGATTTTTGAGGTAGGGTCTCTCACTAGGACCTGGTATTCACTGATTTTGCTAGGCAGGTCAGCAAGTAAGACACTGGAGTGTTTCTGCCTCCTTAGCACTAGGATTAAGAGTGTGTGCCACACACATGGCTTTTCACATGGCTACTGAATCAAACTCAGATCATCAAGATTGTTTTGCAAACACCCTAAGGACTGAGGCATATAATTGCTCATTTTCTGTCCCACCATCTACCAAATAATGACACAAAGACTTATTAATAATAATTATGAAAGCTTGGCCTTGGCTTAGGCTTGTCCCCGTAGCTCTTATAACTTAAACTAACCCGCTTTTATTAATGTATGTTTTACCACGCTGCTTTTTACCTTGTTTTCATTCTGTATGGCCTACTCTCTCCATGTCTCATTGGCATCTCCACTGTGCCTTGAAATTGGCATCTCTCTCTGCCTGGAAGTCCCACCTATGCCTCCTGCCTAGCTATTGGCTATTCAGCTCTTTATTACACCAATCATAGAAATATATCTTTACACAATGTACAAGTATCCCACAAAAGTCACAAGAGAGGCATCTCCCCAGCCTGGTCCCTTTTAATTTTTTTATGTGTGTAATCATTGTCCAGAATCATATGCATGCTTGGTGCCTATGGAGACCAGGAGAGGGCATTGGATGCCCCTGGAAATGGAATTGCGGAAGGATATAGACTATCATGTGGGAGCTGCTAATTGAACTCAGGCCCTCAGGAAGAACTGCCAGTTTTTTTGATCACTGAAGCCATCTCTCCAGTCTCTCTTCCTGATTCTTGAATGACAAAAATATCAAAAAAAAATGAAACTAAACTAGAATATGCCTAGAAGCCATTGTTCCCTCCCAGGAGGAATTTTTATCAACTAATGCCTTCCTTTCCTCTCTCTTGCACACTGTAGTTGAACAGATTCCCATTCAGAAAGAAAACATTTGTAAACTCCTTAAAGGAGTAGGGTTGACTTTCTCTTCCCTTGGTTTTCTTTGTGGCTTTAATGTATTAACAAAGACACTTGGCTTCTGCTTCTGTGGAGAGAAGGGAGGAGTATGCAAGGATGTTTGAGGATGCTTGCATGCGAACTTGTGGAAGCAAACATCTTCCTTTGATGAGTCTCTGAATAAGTATGTTACTCTATGTGGCAATGATATTAGTGACCAGATAGTAGTATATATGAGGACTTTATTTCTCTTTACATGGACCAAGGGAAAAGAATTATCAAGTTAATGGCTCTAGGAAATACTTGCTAAAGCACCCCTAGAATGAATTCTAAAGGCAAGAGCTGTACCCCATTCAAATTAGAACCCCTAAACCCAAGTACCTTGTAAGTTATACTAGCCTCTGTTGGGATCAATGATTACTTCATGATAAGAAAGGGAGTGGCCATCAAGAAAAGTGCACCCAACTAGCTCTGGCGGGGAGGGTTCGCTTGCATTTCTGAAGCATGTGTCCTCTTTTATAAAATTCATGATATCAGCAGTATGTGATTCATCTGAATCCCAAGACCACTGATGGCCATCATTGTGCTTATGGGAGAGGGCCTAGAAGGTGTTATTGTCTGGCTGCCACACGGGTATACTAAGGCACATCTGCCTGTGAGACTCCAAGGCACCCAGATGCCAACTGAGTGTTAGTATTTCCTTTACCATCATCACCATGGAATGCACCTATACTGATATGGATAGAGCAAATGCTCAGTGCTGGGTGTTGGCTGCCAAGTTAATGTTTCTGGGTGCACTGACTCACATTCTAGATTCCTTAGGACACATCTCTTATTCAAAGGAAAAAAACCAAGGCTGCTCTACGGACCTCCAGACAGGAAGGCTTCACACTTCACAAATACTTCTTTCCCCAGAATGGATGTGAGCTTCCAATGGGATAGTAGAAAACATAATATGCCTTGAACA